CTCTATCCCATAATACCAAATTTCGCCTCAATCATCCTCCACCGGAGACTATATTCTCGTTCATGAATCTCCAAAGTCATTTCCTCTGAAGAGCCATAGTAACCTCCATAAAAGATCTCAAACCTAGTCCACCTTGATGAATAGACTTCTTAACCTCATACCAAGCCACAAGATGATACTTCCCTTTCTCCTCAATGTCACCCCATAAGAATCTATACTGAATTAATTTCAATCTCTTAGCCACACTCACAAATTATCAAGGACCTATTTCAATATATTTCCCAAGCAGCAAGTAACATGCTAATTTTCATATTAAAATAATACCAAACAATCCCTTAAACAGGGGCAAAAACATGCAAAGGCAAACGAGTAGAGAACCAAAAAGTAAACAGTCCCATTTAACCCAAATACCCATGCATACCAATCTGTACAAAGACTCAAGAAGAAACAGAGAGCTAAATTTGGTATTATTTTAACATCAAAACAGCAAGCATAGTACAGTCCCCATCCCTCTCTATCCTACTTTCCAAGCAGCAAAACAATACACCAGTTTTTATGTTCAAGCAACACCATAAAACCCCAAATTTGATGATTAAACTGTGAATGCAAAAACCTAAAAACCGTCCCAATTTATTCCACTTTAACACAGCAAATAATATTTTTCTTGTCACTTTAAATGACACCACACAATTCCCAATGAAAGCTAGGTAGAAAAGTTAAAAGCTTAGAACAGTCACTATTTCCCTCATTTATTTCACTCTTGACCAGAAAGTAACAATGCTAAAGAATCCGTAAATATGAAGACTAAACCAGTAAGTTTGAAGTCATTAAAACACAACCAAATATGTGTTGTATCCTATTTGAAAAAATTAGATCAATTGATATCACGAGAAGAATACACACGCACACACACATGCAAAGCAAACTTACAACAACGAAAGAAAGATAATAGCTACTTCGAAGTGCAAAGAGAAAATCAAACAAGTGTGAGAGCTTTTAAATATCAAAATAAAGACCTAGGCCAGATTCAAAAAATGAAAAATAAGACTTCAAAGGAATCCAACCAGAAATCCACCCAACTCTGTGATTCGAAAAAGTCTTAAGATTACCCTAAAAGCATGTTTTGGAATGGTCTTATGAACCAAAGGACATGGTATTGCAGTGAAGCCAAAGCTGAATTTGAAATCCAAAACAATAATACCTGCCAAAATCATATGCAAGGATCGTAAAAAGTGCGACCAGAAACCAGAGATGGCAAAAGCATTTCAGGGACTTTCAACACATTGCAAAATACCTTAAAGAACTAAAAGCATATGTATGAATGAGTATGAAACATCTGAAGGGGTAAAAACAGATTGAGATAATGAAATGAAATGTGAATCACCACAAAGATGCAAAATGAAAAAAATGAAAAGAAATCTTCGACTGGGCTAGAGGAAGAGAAAGGAAAACTATAGTACGTCAGTGGCCAAAAAGTAGATGCAGAAAGGAATTGGATACAATCAGTTTAAGTACAAGAATACTAAACCTGACTTTCATTGAATCCAACCGTGAACAGAAATGATGAAGCTACACACAAGCATAACAAGAAAGCAAACTCATCAACCCATGGCCAAACATGGGGTTCCACAATTTTTTTCTTTTTGAAATAAAAGTAAGTAGTGTATTATTAACATTGTACCAAGGGGGTACTCCTGTATACAAGATAATTACATGTCAATCAAATGGTTCCAACAACAAATGAAAGTTGACATTTACTCCAATTCTTAATGTCAAAATATAAACTCATCCAATATATCAAAAGAGGACGAAGGGATTAAGGGACAGCATTTATCATTTTTTATATATACATGCTCATAGTAAAACTTCAAAGTAATAAAAATATACCCTAGGTAGATGGAGATCATACATACTCCAAATACATTTTTCATTTTATATGAAGATCATACCAACAGCACATTCAAGTCCCATTTTACATCCACTATCGCATTCTATACTCTATATATAAAGATAATTCAGTCCTCTCCTATAAGCAATCTTCAGGCTTAGAAATTTACCTAAGGGATCGTGATTGGAAATCCCTAGATTGGGTCACTTCTGTCACCTTTCCAATCTCCTTCTTCGTCCTTTTTCCTTGCTTTTTCTCTTTGCCCGACTCAGTATCCTCCTCTCTCTGTCTGTGTCTTTTTTTGTGAATGTCCCTCCTTCTTATGGCCGAAGGAGACCTCAGGTCGCCACTCTCGGCCTCACTGCCATCCTCGAGCCCGATACCCCTTCACAATTTTTGGGTCAACGAGCCCCTGACTTCCTCCTTAATTTCCCTGGCACCTTGGTAACGTCTGCTTTCCTCGTTGCAGGTGACACGCGAGCAGAAATGGAAGCCTTCTTTTCTTCCTCGTTCAATCTTTGCTTCGCTTTCTTCTTCAACCAA